GGTGGAGAGCTGCGGCTCCTGGTGGCGGGGGTGCATCCGCAGGTGCGGAGGAAGCAAACAGCCGCACGCTTCTACGCCTGTGCTCTGTGGTTCGACTGTAGGGGGCGTGCACGAGTTGACCCTGTAGACGTGTGTGTGACTTTTTACTCCACCTTTTTGTTTTCATTTCCACCCTGTTGTTAACCCCTTAAATTTCATTTGACCACATAAAGGGGTGGTTTTTTTGTGTGAGGGTGTGGGAGGGGGGTGGTACGCGGACCATCAACTCGTGTGTGTGACGAGGAACAATGGACTGATGGTCTTTGATGTCTTGTTTAAAAATCTGGTCTCCCCCGCTGACGCTTTGATAACTGGCTAACTGGGACATTTTCATTCTAATTAGGGCTTCCAATTACTAATTCCATATTGCTGCTATAATTATCACGGGGAGGCGCGCGGACGCGGCGTTTCGCGGTCAGATTTCGGGCAGACGGGTTGCCCCCCCCCTCACCGCACGTCCACTTCTGTGGGTTCCCAAACTGCGGCCTGGGGGCTTCTTATGAGCTATATATGGGGCCGGATTCCCACTCTGGAGGCTTTTAGAGGTGAGTATGTTAACACTGTATAATCTCCCTCGCTCGCCAAACCAGTTAGCATCTGATAGCATTTGCTAACAAACAGCTTTCTGGGAGAGGGGATAAAACGGCTCTAGTTTTCAATTATGATAAATTCAAAATGCTTTTAAAGTTGGTGTGTAGTAGGAAAAAGAAGTGTCACCTTTAATGCGTTAATACTAATTTGTCTTTTAGCTTCTAAACACTTCTCGTTTCATCTTTCCCGCCATTTGGACTCCCCATTTTCCCCACTTTGCCATACACACTGGACGCCTATAATAACCTTATGGGCAGTAATTGGAATTTTTTTTCTCTAACCAACCCCCCCTCACCCCTCCTCTTTACCCCTTCGCACGCATGCGCAGTGGGGGGCGTACTGGTCAGTCTGAGAAGCAGCTGTTCGGGGCTGGTGAAATTCCAACATGGCAGTGGCTGTGGTCAGTGTTTCCTGCGTTCACTCGGGATGGCTTCAGCTCGCGCGCAACCCGGCTTAACCCTCGGCTAAAAAGAAACAAAAAAAAAAAACCCTTTCATCAGCAGCAGCAGACCCTTTCCCGGGATCGATGCGACCCTAACACACACACCCCCCCACCACCACCACCGCCGCCACCGCCACCACCACCACCAACCCCACGTGAGAGGTCGACCTGTCGCTAAAATAACAGGTAAGGAGGGCTGTAGTCTGGAGGGATCCGCTGCGTCCGCTGTTGGACACGAGCGGTCAGAGCGGACGGGCTGTAGAGGAGAGGAGACGACCGCTGCAGCCCCCGCAGTGCACGCTCACCTCGGAATCATGCATGCGCGCGTTGTCGTTTAACAAGTTGCCCGACTCGCGAACGACACCTGCGCGTGAATTGCACGGTTTTTTTAATTAAATGCGCCGCGGTGAAAAATCGCAAAAGCCCGCACTATAGGTCGCCTGCTTTTTTTCTGTGTGTCGGCTGTGCGGCACTGACAACTAAAAAAAAAACAACTAAAAAAACACAACTTGCATGCACGCGGAGGCTAATCCAGCCTGTTTACAACAAGTTGCCCCGCGCGTGCGGCGCAGAGAGCGGATACAGAATCACCGCAGCGCCCGTTTGGGAACATTTTAGGGCGTTATCAGCAGATTGAACTCCGAACAAGCACCGAGCTGCACCAGTTGATTTTTTTCCCCTCTCTCTCTCTCTCTCTCTCTCCCTCTCTCTCTCCCCTCCTCCCTCACCGCTGCCTGTCATCCCGGGCTCCACTTTCTAATGAGATGCATGTAGGTTAGATGCCTCTCTCCTATTGAGTTGCTCGCGCCAGTACTTGAAGGGCCCACCTTTCAATCGGCTGGGAATCCGAGCAGCGTCGCTGGAACCGACAAGAAATAGAAACAATACCCCCCACCCCCCCCCCCCCCCAAAAAAAAAAAAAGTGTCTGGCATGTTTCAGTTTTTTAGTTGAAGGGGATTTTTTTTTTTTTTTGTTCTTCAAAAATCTTTTAATTCCAATGCTCTCATCTCCTCTTCCTCTTCCTCTTCCGCTCACCGTTCCAGCACGAGATGATCAGCAGCAGCAGCGTCTATGGTAGGTGGATTTTACATCACACTTTTTATTATTAATATAATTATTATTAATGTATTAGATACACATATGAGTTTCCCTAGCTGGTGACTAAGTGTATTTATTTTGTGTATTTATTTCACTGGAGCTGATCTTATTGTGTGTGTGTGTGTGTGTGTGTGTGTGTGTGTGTGTGTGTGTGTGTATTCATATTGTCAGCTTTATTTAAAATAGTTTTTTTACAATAGGATAAATCTCCAAAATGACAGCAGTCACGTTTAGGTTTATTTTCCATCTTTCATGTTTTTCTCATGTCACACTAACACAGCCTCACTACCTGCTAATTAACATACCAGGGCTACATTTACATTACACATGGCTTCATTTGACGTTAATAATCTGCTGTCAAATATAGTTCCCAAACTTTTTTTTTTTTTTGATAATCAAACCGGCAGAAGAGCGAGATGGACGTGAGGCAGACGTTATATTTTTTCCAACACGCACAACAGATTTCTTCTGATTTGAATATAACAACGTACGAGTTGTGGAATGGAGCACGTAGATGTGAGTCACAGGCCTCAATCGCTATATTTATAATCAGCGTCACACTTTTCTCATATTTCATACACACTTTATTGCAGTAGTGATTATTAACATTGCGAGGGAACTGTGCATTAATAACAGGAATAAACAAGGACAGACTGGGAAAACAACATCCTGCCTCGTGCGTGCAGCAGACCGTTCAAATTTCAGGTTAAAGAAAAGAAAAGAAGAATATCCATTTGTTGAGTGCAGGAAATGTGTGCTGCGTTCACGTAGAACAATGGTGCATTGTTGGAAAAGAGAAGAAGAAAAAAGCCATCCCACCCTGTTGCGAGTGAGATGTGGCAGCGGATCGTTTTCTGATGAACAATCGTGCTTTATTCTGCCGGGCCGAGCTTCCACGATTGCACATTCTTGGTTTTTGTAGCAGTTATTAGTGAGGACTCAACCTTTCACCTTTGAACTCTCTCACACAGTTTCTTGCTCCACGTCATGTGCTGTTTCCTCCTTTCTCCTGCTGTGTGTGTGTTGTTTCTGCGATTATAGGCGTGTGTGTCCACGCTGTCAAACTTTCACTTTAATGACAACACTAATGCCTCTGTTTGGACCTCAGGTGTTGCACACACACACACAGGTGTGCACTTATTTACGCGTTAAATGACACATTTTCCTGCAGCCGTGTCATCGCGGCGCGCTCACAAACGGCTGACTCTGGATGGCGATGTGTGGACGTGATTCTTTATTGGAGGAATTCAACTGTTAGCCACTGCTGTCATTCTAGAGAGGAACATGTGGGGGGGAGCGGTGTGGTGCATGAGTTTTGAAATATGTGTGTGTGTGTGTGTGTGTGTGCAATAGATGAGAAAACCCAGGTGTGCGGGTTTCTGTGTGTAATGTAAATAATGTAGCGACTCAGCGGCCTGTTTATTCCTCTAAGTCTTATTTGTTTGCTTACAGTCTCGCGGCTTAAGATCCGTCCCTCTGCATCCGCTGTCTGCGCGTGTTGTGGTGACAGCAGCAATAATCTCCCCTCATTATACACATAACGTATCACCTCACATCCCCCCCCCCCCACGATACAGGTAATAGGGACAGAGAGAGGACAGATAATAGGAATGGAAGAGAAAGTGCTCTACGAACAGGCAACCCTTTACTCTGCCTTTATTTATCTAAACACGTCCCCCCCCCCCTCCTTCAAATGAACAGAGAGAGCCGAGTGTGCTGCGAGGGTGGCCGAGCGACTCCCCCGGTGGGACCGCGTAAATAAATTATCCTGACACTTCCTATCAAGTCTGTAATGTTTACCATTAAAAGATGTTTTAAAACCGTCCCGGAGCCCAGCGGCGCGCGATCCACCCGCGGGACCTCTAGCCAGATGTAAAGGGGGGGACGTGGGGGAAATATTTCTTTACACACACACACACACACACACAGAGAGACATGTGTTAGTCTCCGCCGCGTCCACGTCAGCGGGTCTCTCCCGTCTGACAAAAGGGGGCCGTCCTCAAACGCGACACCGCCCGGGTTGTCATCTTTCAGCAAATATGTTAAGTGTTATCTTTTGTGCCGAGCTGGAGCCCGGGACCCCCGTGGGAGCCCCGGCACATGCAAATAGAACAAATCCCTCTCGGACCTGTCTGTTTCACTCTCTCCCATCTCCCCTGTCTCCCCCCCCCCTCCCGCTTATCCTCCACGTTTGCTCGACAGTGCGTCAGTCCTTCTTGTCTCCTCCGCTCTCTCATCCACTTCACTCTTTGTCCACTTATTTCCCCTCCTCTCGCTCTCCGTCCCAGAAGGCAGTGCTGCCGGGGCGCGCGTGCTCGCTGACAGCCCCCCCTCCTCCCCCCCTCGCTGTTCTAAGTTCCTCTTCTCAGAGATGGGGTGGGGGGGGGGGGGGGGGGGGGACAGCTGTCGGTAGCACCACTTGCCCCCCGAAACAGGTTTCTCTTCCTAGATGAGTGGACGGCCACAAGTCCTCCTCTTCCTGTCCCCCCCCCTCCTCCCCCTTACTTCTGTGTTGGTACACTGGCTGCATCAAATGGGGGGGTTTAGGGGATTTGCTGTGACTGACAGTTGTCGGTCGGTGGATTATTTTCTTTTCTCAAAACGCGCCCTCACACACAAATTACACTCATTCTGCCCTCACGTCTTCCTCCCAGTGCTGACTGGTTATTATCCAGTCAAAATCTGATGGGTGTACTTAGGGGCGAGGTGGGGCGGGGGGGGATCCACACCACAGACTCCGCGGTGGAGTGATACTTACTGCTTACTGCTGCGGACACTCGCTGTGACGCTCGATACCGAGATAATGCTTTAACGTGGCACGGTGGCACTTGAGAGATCAGGTGTTTGGTGTCACTGAGCTGTTACATATTGTACCAGATGAATCAAAAAGCTCATCTTCAAATTTTAACTGATCAAACTGCAGTTTTCAGGTTGAATAAATGTAAGAAAAGACACGAAAGTTTTGGTCAAACTAGCAGATGAACGTCCCAATAACAGACGGGAACCTTTGCAGCTGAAACTGATCTGAGATCGGTGTCGCCAAATCTCCAGACTTTTCCGCCTCTAATTTTTATTTATTTCTCCGACAGACACTCAGCTAAATTCATTTCCATGTTAATTCCAGCATTAAAAGCATTATCTCACTCTCTTTGAACTCCGAATCCCCCGAAATGTTTGAAGTTTCTCCGGTTTATGTAATGCGTCGTTTTTTCATAGGTTTTAATCAAATCAAAGCTGCAGATTTTCCTTTTTTTCCACCCTCCCGCTCCTACCTTCTTTGCAATCCGCTGCCCTCTCTTGCTGAATTTTAAGCAGACCCCCGCTCACCTCTCTTTACTCTTTACCAGCAATCTCCGCCACCCATGGCCCGGATTCTCCGGCAGATTTTATAACATTCAGCATGTGAAAGCGTTAAATATGCTAAGGACTTATTAAAAAATATATATCTAGCTTCCACTTTGGAACATTCCGCACCATTAGACCTCAATAGACATGGCGGCGTGCAGCTTATCCTTTACATTGTACCGTCAAATGAGAAGGCGCCGTCTCTAATTAGGTTATTGCCATGGAAGTCTTAAGTTAAATTGTGCATTGATATGCGCGGGAGCTCGCCGCTCATTTGGCCCGGCGGTGGAGGACGCTGACGAGAGCCTTTTTTTTTTTCCTCCACAAGGGCCAAAGAAAATGACAGCCAGGAGCAGAGGAAGGCTCCGACTGTAATCTCTGGCCGCCGCTGCTGGATGATCTGATTTTTTTGTGAACACAGATTCTGGGCTAGATCGTGGCCGTCTGCTGCCCCCCCCTTCCACCACCCTTCCACCACCCGTCTGCAGCTCAGCTTGAACGTCTTGATTAGCGAGGCGTCTTGCGCGAGCGGCGAGTAAGTCGGGCACTTTTTTTTTGTCTGCGAGGCGGCAAAGGTGTGCGTGAGCGTTAATGAACAATGGCTCGTCGGGGGCGAGGAAGAGCTGGTGTGTGTGTGTGTGTGTGTGTGTGTGTGTGTTCAGAGGCTTGGCAGGCTGCCAGGGGATGGACACAAAGGATGTTGAGTGGCTGGGCGTGTGGCACAGCATCACTGAGCCGCCTGTGGCCTCTGGGAGATGGACACGAACCGGCGAGCGAGAGCAAAAAAAACAACTGCTGTTGCTACGTAGCTTTCGCCGCGGCTATTGTCGGGCTGCGACTAGCAATTTACAGTCATCATCGATTGGTCGGTGTAATGACAAAAAAGAAAAAGTGGAAAAATACCAATCAAAGCTCTCTAAAGCCCAAGATGACGTCTTGAAAATGTCTCGTTTTGTGTCACCAAAACGATCATAAGTGACACAAAGCAGCAAATGCTCCCCATTTGAGATAATTATTTTGCTATTTTTGCTCTATAAAGGATTAATCGATCACTCACATTTCCAGTTTTAGTCTAGATTGCGCCGGTACATTCGTGGTGGTGCCTTGAATCAAAGTGAAATATCATGTTTTGTCCGACCAACAGTCAGGAACCCGAAGACGCCGAGTTCACAATCATAAAGCAGAGAAAAGCAGCAAATCCTCCCATTAGAGAGGCCGGAACCTGAGAATGTTGTGCTTGGTAAATAACTGAAAGGATCAGTCGATTGCTAAAGTTAGACTGTCGATCGAGTAACCGTTTCGGCTTCAGCCTCATGATTAAATTGCACTGGTAGGGTTAGGGTTAGTTAACCCTAACCCTACCCCTACCAACAGTCCGGAACCCAATAGAGTTCACAATCATACAAAGCAGAGAAAAGCTGCAAATCCTCCCATTAGAGAGAGAACTTTTGTTATATGTCCTACAAATTGCATTAAAATCAGTTCGTGCTGAGGGGAGGGAGGCCGTTCGTGTGCTTCCCTGTGATCGTGTGTGTGCACACTTGTAACCGTGTGTGTGTGTGTGCGGGCCAAGTTCCCCCACTGGAAGCGGGGCGAGAGCATTAGGATGTTGCTTGTACAACTCCGTTGGC